CTGATGCTGCTTGGCCTGCTGTGCTCATCCAGCTCTACACCTCGTTATCTCAGATTCTCCAGCATCGGCAGTTCCTGCTATCTCTGTTCAAACATAGGCTGGCCAATCAGTACTGAACATGCAGCTTGACGCGCCTGTATTGACTTGAGGGGTTCTTTCCCCCGGCAGGATTTCCTGCTTTGTCGCTGACATGTTAGTTTCGAGGCGACCGGACGAAGCTGCTCCGCTTGTCTGATCGTCTCTGGCCTGAAGCGGTAAACTTTCCGCTCGCCGATAACAGCACCAACGGGTTCCGGGCGAAAAGTTAACCAGCGGCTTCGCAGCTGTACTCAGTGTAGCAGAGCTTTCCCCTACTCGGAAAGGCCTTCGGTAAGTACAGTTTCTGTCAATAACATTTCAGGGCAGAGAGCTCGATCAGATGTTTGAGAGAGGAAAAAAAACTTTGCATATCAACCCTCTCGATCTGTTTTACTTCCGTTGTTTGTTCTGTGTCAGATCACTGCTTGCGTAGCACAGCTTAGTTTAAATGAACGAGCTATCATTTCGCGATGTTTCCCTGCTTGTTGTAAGAATATAGATGCATTTTGAGCACGCAAGCTGTGTGTTTGCTACGATAACAACAGTGGAAACAATGTCGATTTTTATTTCTTATGGATTTGCAAACTAATCCAACTGTAGCGAGGGTTGGTTACATGATCCAGTCAATTTCGACATTTATCAGTTTATTGTTTATAAAATCCGCCGTTTCAGTTTGCGTGATAAATTCAAGCCAAAGAATTGAGTATCTAGAGATAACACGCGGTTACATGAATTCTTGACAAAATGGTCGATTTCAGAATTTCACAAATTACACAAATAGATTTATCATTACGAGTAATGTACAGGCAGCTGCAATGGGTTAGGATACTGTGACGTTTCCCGACAAGATGCTCAACATTTCCCCGTTTTGAAAGGAAGCTGTGCATTTCCGTGTTTATTACTTGTATTTTCTTTGAGCACGCATTTCTTTTCTGCTTTTCCTGAAACTTCTGCCTGGTATCCTTCGGTTTTAAATGAGTCTAATGGACAGTTTTCTCAAGCTACTCCACCGTATATTGTATAATAACAGAGTTTGATCCAATACTAGTTCAGTGTGCAAATACACACTTTAATTTAGATAAATGTGAGGTGCTGCACTTTGGAAAGGCAAGCCAGGGCAGGTCTTATACATCAAATGGTAAGGTCCTGGGGAATGCTGCTGAACAAAGAGACCTTGGAGTGCAGGTTGTAGTTCCTTGAAAGTAGAGTTGCAGGTAGAACAGGATAGTGAAGAAGGCATTTGGTATGCTTTCCTAAATTGGTAAGTGCATTGAGTATAGGAGTTAGCAGGTCATGTTGCGGCTGTGCAGGACATTGGTCAGGCCCCTTTTGGAATATTGCATGCAATTCTGGTCTGCCTGCTGTAGGAAGGATGCTGTGAAACTTGAAAGGGTTCAGAAAAGACTTACAAAGAGTTTGCTAGGGTTGGAGGCTTAGAGCTACAGGGAGAGGCTGAATACTCTGGGGCTATTTTCCCTGGAGCGTCCGAGGCAGAGGGGTAACCTTATAGAGGTTTATAAAGTCATGGGGGCATGGATAGGGTAAATAGACAAGGTCTTTTCCGCAGGGTGGTGGAGTCCAAAACTAGAGGGCATCGCTTTAAGGAGAGAGGGGAAAGATTTAGATCAAAGAACAAAGAAAATTACAGCGCAGGAACAGGCCCTTTGGCCCTCCAAGCCTGCGCCAATCCAGATCCTCTATCTAAACCTGTTGCCTATTTTCCAAGGATCTGTAACCCTCTGCTCCCTGCCCATTCTTGTATCTGTCTAGATACATCTTAAATGACGCTATCGTGCCCTCTACCACCTCTGCTGGCAACGTGTTCCAGGCACCCACCACCCTCTGCATTTAGAACCTTCCACACATATCTCCCTTAAACTTTTCCCCTCTCGCCTTGAAATCGTGACCCCTAGTAACTGAGACCCCCACTCTGGGAAAAAGCTTCTTGCTATCCACCCTGTCTATACCTCTCATGATTTTGTAGACCTCAATCAGGTCCCCCCTCAACCTTTGTCTTTCTAATGTAAATAATCCTAATCTATTCAACCTTTCTTCATAGCTAGCACCCTCCATACCAGGCAACATCCTGGTGAACCTCCTCTGCACCCTCTCCAAAGCATCAACGTCCTTTTGGTAATGTGGCGACCAGAACTGTATGCAGTATTCCAAATGTGGTCGAACCAAAGTCCTATACAACTGCAAAATGACCTGCCAACTCTTGTACTCAATACCCCGTCGGATGAATGAAAGCATGCCGTATGCCTTCTTGACCATGCTACCGACCTACGTTGCCACCTTCAGGGTACAATGGACCTGAGCACCCAGATCTCTCTGTGCATCAATTTTCCCCAGGGCTTTTCCATTTACCGTATAGTTCGCTCTTGAATTGGATCTTCCAAAATGCATCACCTCGCATTTGGCTGGATTGAACTCCATCTGCCATTTCTCCGCCCAACTCTCCAATCTATCTATATTCTGCTGCATTCGCCGACAGTCCCCTTCACTGTCTGTTACTCCACCAATCTTAGTGTCATCTGCAAACTTGCTAATCAGACCATCTATACCTTCCTCCAGATCATTTATGTATATCACAAACAACAGTGGTCCCAACACGGATCCCTGTGGAACACCACTGGTCACAGTTCTCCATTTTGAGAAACTCCCTTCCACTATAACTCTCTGTCTCCTGTTGCCCAGACAGTTCTCTATCCATCTAGCTAGTACATCCTGGACCCCATGCGACTTCACTTTCTCCATCAGCCTACCATGGGGAACCTTATCAAATGCCTTACTGAAGTCCATGTATATGACATCCACAGCCCTTCCCTCATCTATCAACTTTGTCACTTCCTCAAAGAATTCTATGAAGTTGGTAAGACATGACCTTCCCTGCACAAAACCATGCTGCCTATCACTAAAAAGCCCATTTTCTTCCAAATGTAAATAGATCCTATCCCTCAGTATCATCTCCAGCAGCTTCCCCACCACTGACGTCAGGCTCACCGGTCTATAATTACCTGGATTATCCTTGCTACCCTTCTTAAACAAGGGGACAACATTAGCAATTCTCCAGTCCTCCGGGACCTCACCCGTGCTCAAGGATGCTGCAAAGATATCTGTTAAGGCCCCAGCTATTTCCTCTCTCGCTTCCCTCAGTAACCTGGGATAGATCCCATCTGGACCTGGGTACTTGTCCACCCTAGAATACCCAACACTTTCCCCCTCCTTATGCTGCCTTGACCTAGAGTAATCAAACATCTATCCCTAACCTCAACATCTGTCATGTCCCGCTCCTCAGTGAATACCGACGCAAAGTACTCATTAAGAATCTCACTCATTATCTCTGACTCCTCGCATAATTTCCCTCCTTTGTCCTTGAGTGGGCCAACCTTTTCTCTAGTTACATCTTGCTCCTTATGTATAAATAAAAGGCTTTGGGATTTTCCTTGACCCTGTTTGCTAAAGATATTTCATGACCCCTTTTAGCCCTCTTAATTCCTCGTTTCAGATTGGCCCTACTTTCCCGATATTCTTCCAAAGCTTCGTCTGTTTTCAGTCGCCTAGACCTTATGTATGCTTCCTTTTTCCTTTTTGCAAGTCTCACAATTTCACCTGTCATCCATGGTTCCCTAATTTTGCCCTTTCTATCCCTCATTTTCACAGGGACATGTCTGTCCTGCACTCTAATCAACCTCTCTTAAAAAGCATCCCACATATCAAGTGTGGATTTACCCTCAAACAGCTGCTCCCAATCCACATTCCCCAGCTCCTGCTGAATTTTGCTATAGTTGGCCTTCCCCCAATTCAGCGCTCTTCCTTTAGGACCACACTCGTCTTTGTCCATCAGTATTCTAAAACTTACAGAATTGTGATCACTATTCTCAAAGTAATCCCCTACTGAAACTTCAACCACCTGGCCGGGCTCATTCCCCAACACCAGGTCCAGTATGGCCCCTTCCCGAGTTGGACTATTTACATACTGCTCCATAAAACCCTCCTGGATGCTCCTTACAAATTCTGCTCCATCTAAACCCCTAACACTAAGTGAATCCCAGTCAATGTTGGGAAAATTAAAATCTCCCATCACCACCACCCTGTTGCTCCTACATCTTTCCATAATCTGTCTACATATTTGTACCTCTCGCTCGCGCTCACTGTTGGGAGGCCTGTAGTACAGCCCCAACATTGTTACTGCACCCTTCCTATTTCTGAGCTCTGCCCATATTGCCTCACTGCTCGAGTCCTCCATAGTGCCCTCTTCAGCACAGCTGTGATATCCTCTTTGACCAGTAATGCAACTCCTCCACCCCTTTTACCTCCCTCTCTATCCTGCCTGAAGCATCTATACCCTGGGATATTTAGTTGCCAATCTTGCCCTTCTCTCAACCAAATCTCAGTAATAGCAATAACATCATACTGTCAGGTACTAATCCAAGCCCTAAGTTCATCTGCCTTACCTACTACACTTCTAGCATTAAAACAGTGTGCCTCAGACCACCTGTCCCTTTGTGTTCGTCATCTGCTCTCTGCCTCCTCTTCCCCTTAGTCACACTGACTTCATTATCTAGTTCCTTACAGGCTTTAGTTACTACCTCCTTACTGTCCACTAACCTCCTCATTTGGTTCCCATCCCCCTGCCACATTAGTTTAAACCCTCCCCAACAGTGTTAGCAAAAGCACCCCCTAGGACATTGGTTCCAGTCCTGCCCAGGTGTAGACTGTCCGATTTGTGATAGTCCCACCTCCTCCAGAACCGGTCCCAATGTCCCAAAAGGACATTCTTCTGCTAAAAAGGACCTTACGGGCAATATTTTCTCGCAGAGGGTGATGCGTGTATGGAGTGAGCTGCTAGAGGAAGTAGTGGAGGCGGATACAATTACAACATTTAAAAGGAATCTGGATGGGTATATGAATAGGAAGGGTTTAGATGGAGACGGGCCAAACGCTGGCAAATGGGATTAGATTCATTTAGGATATCTGGTCGGCATGGACAAGTTGGACTGAAGGGTCTGTTTCTGTGCTGTGTGTCTCTATGACTCTGTGACTGTACAGCAGGGTCAATGAATAACAATTTGTACCCAGAATGCTGCCTGATTTTTTTGTTTCCTTGAAGGCGTATTGACGCCAATTGTAGCACTACATTTGATCAGCGCAAGTGGAAATTATCATTGAGGGATACTAATGATAAAGAGTGAAATGAACTTCTTTGTGTATATTCCACAACTGACTCTTGAGTGTTGAGAGGTATACTTCCAGATCCTGTACACTGTTTACATTACAGGATATGTACG